CACTGTTTAAAGTGCTTTATAAATAAATTGGTATGGTATGGTATAGTATGGTATGATCATTATTAAGATTGATAATTATATAATTTCAGCTATCATACACTTACACTCTCCTCCTCGTCCTCCACTCCCTCATTCTCAGGCCTTTCCTCAGACTGCATGGTGACCCCATCATCTCCACAGTCTTCCTCTGTTGACCACAAAGAACATTACTAGTATTTAGATTTCAGATTTTAATAGCAGAAAAAGCCAGTTGTGCATGAATGACATTTCACCTGCTCAGTCAGCTTTCTCTGGATCTGCTTGCAGACACCATCATCCATCTTCTGTTTAAAGCGCAGAGCAGCTGTGTAGTTGCAGTGGACTTCTCCACCTTATACCAAGATGGGATTAACTTATTTGACACGTGATCCATTGTAGGTGGTGTATACTTGGGTTGATGGTTGTCACCATGCCCTTGCAAATATATACAAGCATGTAATGTCCCTGTTACTGTAACATTAGCTTAGGATGGACTATTAATTAGCTTAGCTCTATTATTGCCGAACTAACCTAAATGTTGGTGATTCCACATCTGAAAAGGGATGCAACTTTTCACAATATATGCTGTAATTGTTCTGTGGCACTCTTCATTCAGTTAGTTGCACCAGTGTCTTTTCCTCAGACGCTATGATGAATGGAGGAGCACATGTCCCTGTCCAGCCGAGAAACATAGTCCCTCCAGCGTGTTCTGGGTCTTCCTCTGGGTCTCCTCCCGGTGGGACGTGTCTGGAACACCTCTCCAGGGAGGCGTCCGGGAGGCATCCTAAACAGATGCCCGAGCCACCTCAACTGTCTCTGCTCGACATGGAGAAGCAGTGGCTCTACTCTGAGTCTCTCCCGGATGATTGAGCTTCTCACCCTATCTCTAAGGGAGAGCCCAGACACCCTGCGGAGAAAACTCATTTCGGCCGCTTGTATCCGAGATCTTGTTCTTTCGGTAACAACCCAAAGCTCATGACCATAGATGAGGGTAGGAACGTAGATCGATCAGTAAATTAAGAGCTTCATCTTTTGACTCAGCTCTCTCTTCACCACGACAGACCTGTACAGCGCCCGCTTCACTGCGTACGTTGCACCTATCCGCCTATCAATCTCACGTTCCATTTTTCTCTCATTCGTGAACAAGACCCCATAATACTTGAACTTCTCCACTAGGGGCAGGACCTCCGCCATGACCCAGAGAGGGCACTCTACCCTTTTCCGGCTCAAGACCATGGCCTCGGATTTAGACTAACTGATCTTCATCCCAGCTGTGTTGCACTAGGCTGTGACTAGAAATTCTGTCCATAAAAGTTATGAACAGAATCGTGAAAAAGGGCAACCTTGGCGGAGTCCAACTATCAATGTGAACGAGCCCAACTAACTGCCAGCAATGCAGACCAGGCTCTGACACCAGTTATACAGGGACCTAACAGCCCATATCAAATGGCCTGGTACCCCATACGCCCAGAGTACCCCCCACAGGGTTCCCCGAGGGACGAAGTCGAATGCCTTCTCCAAGTCCACAAAGCACATGTAGATTGGTTGGGCAAACTCCCACGCACCCTCCAGGACACTGCTGAGAGTGTAGAGCTGGTCCAGTGTTCCATGACCAAGATGAAAACCACACTGCTCCTCCTGAATCCGAGGTTCGACTATCCGACAGACCCTCCTCTCCAGAACCCCCGAATAGACCTTACCAGGGAGGCTTAAGAGCGTGGTCCTCCTGTAGTTGGAACACACTCTATGGTCCCCCTTTTTGAATAGGGGGACCACCACCCTGGTCTGCCAATCTAGGGGAACTTTCCCCAATGTCCACGCAATATTGCAGAGTCGTGTAAGCTAACACAACCCTACAACATTCAGAGCATTAAGGAACTCCGGGCGAATCTTATCCACCCCTGGGGCCCTGCCACCAAGGAGCTTTTTAACCACCTCAGTGACCTCAGCACTAGAGATTGGAGGGCCCGACCCAGAGTCCCCAGGCTCCGCTTCCTCAGTGGAAGATGTGCTGGTGGGATTGAGGAGGTCTTCAAAGTATTCCGCCCACTGACCCACGGCATCCTGAGTTGAGGTCAGCAGCACACCAACCCCACTATTAATAGTGTTGGTGGTGTACTGCTTTACCCCCCTGAGACGTCAGATGGTGGACCAGAATCGCCTCAAAGCCGTGCAGAAATCATTCTCCATTGCCTCTCCGAACTCCTCCCATGCCCAAATTTTTGCCTCAGTGACCACCTGAGTCGCATGTCGCTTGGACTGCCGGTACCCATCAGTTGCTTCTGGGGTCCCACAGGCCAAAAAGGCCCAATAGGACTCCTTCTTCAGCCTGACAGCATCCCTCACTGCCGGTGTCCACCACCGGGTTCGAGGGTTGCCACCGTGACAAGCACCAATAACCTAGCAGCCGCAGCTCCAGTAAGCCGCCTCGACAATAGAGGCACGGTACATGGCCCACTCTGACTCAATGTCTCCTACCTCCCCAGGAACATATTCAAAGTTCTCCCGGAAGTGTGAATTAAAGCTCCATATCACAGGAGACTCTGCCAGACGTTCCCAGCAAACCCTCACAATACGTTTGGGCCTGCCAGGTCTGACCGGCATCCTCCCCCACCATCGAAGCCAACTCACCACCAAGTAGCGATCAATGGACAGCTTCTCCCCTCTCTTCACCCGAGTATCCAAGACATGTGGCCACAGATCAGATGAGATGAAGACAAAGTTGATCATAGAACTGCGGCCTAGGGTGTCCTAGTGCCAAGAATATGGACACCCTTATGCTTGAACATGGTGTTTGTTATCGACAATCCATGACAAGCACAGAAGTCCAACAGAACACCACTCAGGTTCAGATCAGGGGGGCCTTTCCTACCAACCACACCCCTCCAGGCCAGGATTCTGCGGTCTACACTCATCTCCAGGCCAGCGGTCACTCTTTCAGGGATGAAGATGTTCACATCCTGGACAGAGAGGAACAATGGTTTGAGAGAGGGGTAAAGGAGGCCATCTTTGTGAAAAGAAATTGTCCATCATTAAACAGGGGTGGAGGCCTGCGGGTTCAACTGTCCCCCTCTTACACTGCTGTTATTGCTAGTATTACTCAGCCCTCTGTGAATAGTAAACAGCCATCAGTGTGCTAATGAGCCATTGTTAGGCTGATGGTCCTTCTTGACCATGTGAGCAGCTGGTTTTGGTTGTCAGCAGCAAATTGGTTGATCCACTCTGAGAAGGTGCTATTTAAGAGACTGAGCTGAAAACAGCACCTCAGACTGAGGAAGTCTCCTGGATGAGAGACGAAACGTTTCTATATTTTTTTGCTTTGTTTTTTTTATTTTTTTATTTATTTTATTTTTTTGAATGTCCAGAGGACCAGATTTAACTTTTTTGGATTTTTCTACCTGGA